CATCTGAGGTCGTCCCGGACGTTCTTGAATCCGACCCATGGACATACAATGAGGCACTCCAAGATCGGGATGCAGAGTCTTGGCAAAAGGCGATAAAATCTAAAATAGAGTCAATGGACACTAATCAGGTCTGGGATCTTGTAGAGCCACCCAGTGGCGTTCGCGCCATTGGATGCAAGTGGGTCTATAAGAGAAAGAGAGGAGCAGATGGGAAGGTTGAGACCTTCAAAGCTAGGCTTGTTGCGAAAGGGTACACTCAGAAAGAAGGGATCAATTTTGAGGAAACCTTTTCGCCGGTAGCCATGCTCAAATCCATTAGATTCTCTTAGCTGTGGCCGCTCATATGGATTATGAGATTTGGCAAATGGATGTTAAGACCGCTTTCCTTAACGGGAATTTGGACGAGGACATCTATATGCAGCAACCAGAAGGATTCATTGCAAAGGGCCAAGAGCATCTGGTCTGCAAGCTGAAGAGGTCCATTTATGGGCTAAAGTAGGCTTCGAGGTCTTGGAACATCCGTTTTGACGAGGTTGTCCAATCATATGGATTTACCCAATGTCCAGATGAGCATTGTGTGTACAAGAAAAGTGATGGAAACGTGGTGGTGTTTCTAGTGCTATACGTGGATGATATGCTTCTCAAAGTGTGAAGATGTTGTCAGACGTAAAGGTATGGTTATCCAAGCAGTTTGACATGTAGGATTTGGGTGAAGTAGGACATGTTCTCGGAATCAAGGTCATTCGCGACCGAGAGAAGAGAAAGTTGTGCCTATCCCAATCCACATACATAGACACTGTCCTAAAGCGTTTCAACATGCAGGATTCCAAGAAAGGGGATTTACCCTTTCTACACGGAATACCTCTATCTAAGAGGATGTCCCCGAAGACGCCTCAAGAGATAAAAGACATGAAGGCAGTTCCTTATGCATCGGCAGTAGGAAGTCTCATGTATGCTATGTTGTGCACGCGACCTGATATTTGTAATGTCGTGGGCATGGTAGCAAGATATCAGAGTAATCCAAGACCGTAGCATTGGTCTGCGGTAAAGCATATACTAAGTACCTACGTAGGACTAAGGAGTACATGTTGATTTACCAGGC